AAGAAAATAAAACATATAATATTTTTTATAGAAATTATGATAAAAAATAATATTTTTTTTTACAGAATAATAAATAATTTTTGTGATGGTAATGTATTTATAATTAAATAAAAAAAATAAAAGAATATTAATATAAAGAAAAAAAGACAAAAACATAAAAAGAAAACAAAAAAAAAAGTGATTATATAGGTGATAGGGATGACGTTAATAAAGGATAGAAATGTCATTAGCCTCCCCCTAAAATTAATGTTAGAATCTTTGTAAAAAAAAAAGTTGTTATGATTGAATATATTCTTTTAAGACTTTGACTTAAAATTTTACTTTACGTAATCTACGTTATGATTGCAAATTCGTTACCATCATAAGCTCTTACATCTAAAGGTCAAAAAGTGCATTAAGGTCTCAGGTTCGAATTCAAGAAGGAATAAAAATTCTCTTATGGTCACGGAGGTTCAAATGCTGTCATTCTGGGTTATCCGTGAAGCGGGTGGTCACCCTGAAATTAGTCGACTCGCATAGCGAATTGGAAATTCTGGTTAATAAAAAAAATTCAAAATTCTCTACATTTCTCATTGTAACGAATATGCTCGAAATGCTCTTTTAAAAATTTAAATAATGATCAAATATTTTTTAGAAAAACAAATCTTATTTATTAGAAATAAATATGTTATATATAACAAAAAGAATTTACTTTTGTTTATCTAAACACAAGTATTGTGTCGTCGTTGTTTTTATATATTTGTGAAAAAATACACTACAACAAAATTGAATTTATAGGACATCCTTAATCTCTAAGTGTCCCAATACACATTTTTATAAGACTTGATTTATATGACCAAAATATAAAGTGTTCTATCTAATGGTGTTGTAATAAGTTTATATGACGTTTTTGGACGTCTTAATACAAAGTGTCGCATTAACAGCTTTATAGGATACTTTTGAGAAAGTGTCCTATAAACTCATTTTTTTATAGGACACTTGTTTTTATAGGACAATTTTTCAAATAGTGTCCTATAAAGTTGATAATGGGAAACTTTATATTAAAAGTGTCCTAAAAAACTTATTACAACGTCAAAAAACGTTATATCAACTTATTACAACATCTTTAGATAACGCACAAAAAACACCATAGATGCAACATAAATACCATCACTTATATTTCATATATAAGGTAATTTTGTAATACAACTTGATAATAAAGTTCTCTCACGTTCACAATTATCTCATCTATGTTTCGGCAGATTCCGGTGTTGGTGCTATTGCAGGCGCTGATGTTTCAGCGTTTGGTGCTAGTGCAGGCGT